CACTCATTCACCAATTTGAAACAACCCTCAACACCCGCTTTCTCCTCCCTTTTTTCTTTCTGGACCCTCCACACTCTAACGGGGGAAAGAAGATGTGAAGGCTATAAGCATGCTAATCCAGCATCTGGATCAAAACTAGTCAGACCAGGAATTTTGACCCTGAAGAATTGCGTAACTCTGTTCCTTGTCTCCTTTGCTTGGTCTCACATGAGCCTCCATGTTCCTCTGGAACAGACATTTCAGCTCACAGGGTCATCCGCCTCCTAGCTCTCTTGCACGCTGAAGGCCTCAAATTTCCCAGGAAACCGAAGCTGAGTGAGTTCTCTGAAGCCCCAGGTAGCACTGAGTGGTGATGGGTCACGGTCCGAAGTTGGCCTCACCTGAGGACTCTGTAAAGGCACACGGACCCCTGGCAAGGGAGACAGCACCAGTTTCCATAGGACCAAGGTCTGCTGTGTGAGTCCCTCTGCCCCATCGTTTCTCAGCCTAGGCCCCCGCCAGACAGAGGCAGAGTCTAGGCAGGAGGAGAGACGGACAGTGGGATGGACTAGAGGCCAACATGGACAGCAATGGTGCGACTCTCCTTTGTGAAACCTAAGTGATTCTGAAAAACGTCTGTTCCCTGTCACACAGGCACAGTCTCTCCAACTCAGCCAGTCGCACTGTCCTCACCCAAGGCTTCAGCTGCCAGTCACTTTCTGATAAAATTCAAATTCTGCAGATACTGTCAGAATGCTCAATGAGGGGCTCTCTGTGGGTGCCTTATAAATATCTCAAGTTAATTTCCTCCCCCTAAATCTGTTTTGTTTTAAATCTTAGTCTTGAACAAAGGCATCATCCATTAAGCCCAAATCAGAAATTTTAGCATCTCAATCTTCTCGCAGTCCACCTCCACTCTATTCTAAAAGCCCTACAGCTTCTCAGTTCAACATCTCTGTAAGGTGCCTCACCGCTTTCGCTTCACCTTCTCCTCACCACCCTAGGCTCACCTCTCTCATCTCTCGCGTAGATTGCTGCTTTACTTCTCTACTGTGCGGCAAAAGATCCCCAAGCTCCCTGGCATAAAACAGCCAATATCCATCTGCTAGTTTCTGTGGGCTGGGAACGTGGAAGGGGCTCACTGGGTAATTGTGACTTAGGGTGTCTCACGAGGCGGCAGCAAACATGACAGCTGAGACTGCAGACACCGGAAGGCTCACGCAGCTGTTGCAACAGTTTGGCCATTTAAATTCGTGGGTAGAATCCAGAGTAAGCGCATTCTAGGGGTGATCTGGGGGCCAGGGTCAGCCCTGTCTCTACATACACGAGACATAGACCTCAGTGTTACACTGCGTTGGCTTGAGTACCGGCTCAACTCTTGCTAGTGCAGTGACCTTGGACCAAATTATTCAATTCCTCTAAGCCTCAGTTTCACCATCTTGAAATGGGATAATAATAGTACTTTCCTCACAGTGTTATTAAGAAGATTTTAATATTTGAACCATTTGAAGTACTAGTCAGAATGTCTAGCTTACATTAAGAGCCTAAAGGAAGAAGCTATTTGCTAATTGTATGGGTAGCTAATGGATAGGGTGGTAATGCTTTTGGCCACTCAGTGACATCTTCTTCCTCTCTGGTTCTCAGCTTCTGGAACTACGCTACCTGACACAATAGCCCCTGGCCATATGCAGCCATTGAGCACTTAAGATGTGTCTAGTCCAAAATGAGGTGTTATGAGTGCAAAGTATTCAGATTACAAAGATTTAATATAAAAATGTGAAAATATCTCATTAAAAGAGTTCATCTTAATTATATGCTGCAATGTCATTTACATATGTAGGGTTAATATATTAAAATTAATTTCATCTGTCTTTGGAACATTTTCTAAGTTGGCTACTGAAATGTTAAAAATTATATGTCAAGCTTGCATTATATTTCTTTGGGTGCAGTCTTTTAGAAGACAAAGTTATGAAGCTACTAAATGAAAAAGTAATGTTTCTGTATTTTCTTTCTCCACATAGCATGAACTCCTCCTCCTCCTCCTCCTCCTTTATGCTCCCACCATACTTAGTGTGGATTCTGACCCAGGAGTTAAAAACATGCGTTTCATGCACATGATCCTCATGAGCCACCATCCATCACTAGGGTAACAACAATGGGATGTGTGACTCACATTTCCTCGGCTGTAGGCAGTGTGTAAGGAAACTTGGTTACGGCTTAGTCAGTAGAGAACAAATGACCAGGAGGGGGAAAAGCAATTTCTTTTTAAACTCTTTCATGATGATGCCTCATATAAAACTGAAAGTAAGAAGGAGAAAAATTACATGTAGCAAATGCCAATGGTAGACAACTCAGTATGTATGTATGCACCACTCCCTTCTCCTTTGCTAACAGAAGTCCCAGTGTTGCTTAAGGCTACAATGTGCCTAGTTAAAACACAAGTTACAAGAGGTGGCCCTATGGCACAGTTTCAAACAGTGAAATACGGAAGTACTGTAGGGAGTCTTTTCTTGACTTCAGAAAGGAGGGTGAGACAAATTCAGCTGGTAGACACCATTTATTCTTCACCCTCCACCTTTTCTGCCTGGAATGTGAACACGATACTGCAAAGGTGGAACCACAACCTGGAGACTCTGAGGGTCAAGGTCACTCTCCCAGGTGGGCCAGGAATCCTCAAAGATCCTGCTTGGTGACCACCTTGGTCCACGGCGCAGGCCTGCATCATCTACCTCCACACTTGTTACATGAGCCACATGGGCCCTATGTGTTTAAGGCATTCTCAGGTTTTCTGTTGTACGCAGCTAAATACAATAGTAACATATTTTGCAGTCTTCAGAAAATGCTAATATTCACAATCTGGGCCCAAAATCTGTCCTCAGGCTATTCTTACATCCAAGGAAATATTACCCTACAGCATAGGTCAAGTGACTCCTGTAATGGGAATAATAAGTATGACTATTTGGCCTGGGATTTTTATGATCCAGCACATACAATTGTTATTTTTATTTCATTGCTTGGTCCTTATTGAGTCTATTGGTACATCTTAGGTACACAGTACAGTTACATTCATCATTGGGATCTTGTACCTTGACATGACAGGTCTTGGTTCTCATTTTTTCCCCTTACCCCTGCCCTCCCTTCACCCCCTCCTCCCTTCCCTATTTACAAATACTTTATTTCCACTTTTTCATTTTCTCATTTTTTCCCCTTCTTTCCTTTGCCCTACCCTTCCCACTTCCTTTAGCCCTTTTCTTCAATTGTTTTTGAAAGATATGTGCTGAGGCCAGGGATTTAGTTCAGTGGTGCCGCTGCCTGCCTCGCAAGCACAAGGTCCCGAGTTCGATCCCTGGTACCACACATGCTGTATAGCTCTGTATCTACACATCTAACTATACATGTATACATCTATCTATCACCTAAATATACATTTCCTAGTGGACAGAGTTTTGTCTTATTCATCATCTTATTCCCAGGCCTTAACAAATGCCAATCATCTCTCCTTTTAAATCTTCCTCTTTCTTCTTCTTATTCATAAGATATTTTGGCATGACTCAGAGGTCTCAACATGAAAATCACCTTAGGCTAGGTTTCAGGATAGCTGGATCTATCTTGGCTCTGCCAAACACATGGTTCGGTGACACTGAAGCATCCCTTTAAACGAAAGCTCATGCTGAAGCTCACTGTACTACACAGAGAACACTGGAGAGAACACCCCAAACCCCCTCGGTGGGCCATGAGAGGAGAAGTTCCCCATACACAACTGCATTACAGAGAAATGTAAACTTCAAACTCTGTTATGTGGATCTAATGGAATACTGACCCGGTAAGAGGTCAGAAATCAGTACATACAGGAGTTTAAAAGTGACCTGCGCTTAGAGAAATTTAACAAAGTGCTTTAGCAATGACCCAGGGCCAGTTATTTAACTACTACATGAACTATTTTACTGATCTAAGGCATTAGTATAACTGTTAGACATTATTATGATAATACACAGTACAATGTAAATTGCCAAGGGTATACTTTATGCAGTATTTTCCAATTCTCTTTCTCTCCCTCACACTCTCTCTTTCTCTCTCTCTCTCACACACACACACACACACACACACACATATATATACTGTTGGAGATTGAACCCAGGGCCTTTGCACTGATCTACAATTATAGCCCTTTATTATTTTTTACTTGAAACAATGTCTCTAACATATTGTGTCAACCAGGATTGTTTCTGGGACACAGCACCGAACACCCACAACTTGGAGGAGGAGAGATTTAATTTGCTCATGGTTTCAGAGGATTCAGTCCATAATGGACTGGCTCCAAAGCAGAAACCACACGGCCAAAGTGCATGGAAAAGCAAAACTGCTCAGTTCACTGCAGCCAGGAAGCAGAGCAGGGGAGAGTGCCAGAGAGGAGCCGGTTAGGGACCATACACAGTAGGGAAGGCACATTTCCATGATGCACCCGAAACACCCAGGCACATGCTTACTAATCTGTAAACTCCTTTAGTGAAGTTGACATACCATATCAGGATTGATAGTCATAGTCACACAGACTGGGCTTGAATTTTTGAACCTCCTACCTAAGCCTTCTAGAGTGCTGGGATTAAAGGCTACCCTACCACATCTGGCCTCAGTTTTGTATTTCAAAAGATATAATAACTTAAATTTTTCTACATTAAAGTAGAAATTTTTGGACAAGTGTTTTTAAAAGCATAAGTCAAAAAGAAGCCCTCTATAAACTTCCTTTATGGATCCCCCACCCAACCACCACCAATTTGGCTTAAAAATTTATCATTGTATACAGAGTAATTCCTGCTTAAGAAACAAAAAAATATGCATGGTGCAAGATCAAGGCATGAGCCATATCTGCTTCTTAGATGAGACAGAAAGCAAGATTTGGACCAGGTAAGTGCTTATGGGTCTCTTTTCACAGTTAAGGAGTAGCAGTAGGAGTGTGAATCAGGTTCCTGACTCCCCCAGCTCTTTCTCCTAATGCTTCTTGTTTCCCTTTTGTTGAGCAGGGGTCGTCCTTTTCTTCCTGTCATTGCCAAAACCCAGACAAGTCAGCTAGAAGACAGACTGAACCTCCAGGAGCGCACCACAGCCTTCCTCCTCGAACAAGCCTTCCGCATCAAGGAGGACATCTCTGCTTGTCTCCAGGGGTCCCATGGCTTTCGAAAAGAAGAGTCACTTGCCAGGAAGTTGCTAGAAAGCCACATCCAGACCATCACCAGCATCGTCAAAAAACTCAGCCAAAACATTGAGGTAGCTCCGGTTTCCAATGTGTTGGCATCGGTTTGACAAAGATTATCAACGACCAAAGTCGTTTTTCAACTATAGGAATGTGTTGCGATTGTTTAAAACTTAAATGATTTTAATTTAGCTGCTCCAGAGGGAAACAATTTGGTTTCTTGACAGCTCATTTATTAGAAGCAGTGGAAGAAACTTCTATTCAAAATATGAATTGTATATCTACCTTGTGACAGCAAAGATAACTGTTTAATATTATGTCAGACATTGTGCTAAGGTGCCTATGCTATTCTAAATCACTAAGATTCTATCAATGTAAGAATTTCAAGCAGAGGTTTTCCTAGTGCTCTGCCAGTGCTCAGAAGCTCTTCACAGCCTCACCCCAGCAATCTTGGACACCATCTCCACACTGCTGACTTCCCAGCGTTCCTTGCTCTTCACTCTGACGGGATCAACTTCCTTTAGTTATTCCTATGAAATATCCCTCATTTCCTCAGGTTTCTGCTCAAATTCCATCTAAGAGAGGATGTCCTCCACACTCTAGAAAATAGCACCTTTCCTCACCCCAACAGTTTCAATCCCCCTTCTATTCTATTTTTTTTTTCTCCACAGCACTTCTCACACAATCTATGATGATCTGTATTTGTCTACTGTCCCTCCACCCCTAAAATAAACTCTCAGAAGGGCAGGGACTTTGGTTCACTGCTAAACCTTATACCAGACAACCACTGTGTATGATATGTAGTCAGTATTCTTAATATTTCTTGAAGTAGATTAGTAAATGATTTTTAGGTCTTGAATAAATGTCTTTAAATAAAAATTTCTTCGATTAAAAAAATTCTTAGCCTGTGCCTAGATAAACACATTCTAACTATAGTTCTCTTTTTAGAGCCTATGTGCATGGTGAGTCTCGGTTAATTTTCAGCAAGTGCTTCAGACAACACACGTTAGGAAACTGGCTAAAAACTTCCAACGATGATGAAAATTGGCAAGGATGCCTTCTTCAATAGTCAACTTTCTCTAGTATGCTAAATTGATTAAAAATAAAAACAAACCAGAAACATCAACAAGGGCATTAACCCAGCAGTGACTTGCTCATTAATATGAATTTAAGGCCAAGGATATTCATGAATTAATTCTTTATATGTAGGATCTAGCAGACCCAAAATGCAATTGAGAGAATATAGAAAGTAAAAACCTCTTAATGAACTTTTTAAAAAGTACCTTATTGGTGTTTAGTGTATATTCAAGGTGACCAGGGTATTTTCCAGGCATAACACAATAATGTTATCACGAAAGTGTCAAGAGGCAAACAGCTCCTTGCCTTTTGAGAAGACTCGTAAATCAAGTCAATAGAGCTCTAGCACCAAGATAAGATTCTGATTTATGAGTTAAATCTTCTTGGTAGGTGGAAAGAGTATAACATTCTTATCAAAAGTTTTCTAAGAATGTTCTGTGTTTTGATTTGGGTTCTTGTCACACAAGATCTCGCCAGATGTGCCCTTTGACTTAGGCATCCAATACCTCCTAGCTATTACTCCTAAAACTCTTTCAGTGTTAAGATGGAAAATAGTTTCCAGATCTGTAGAATCCTCCTGAGTTTCTTATATTACAATAATTATTTTAATTATCTTTGAAAAAAAGACAATACCAAAACTATTTCCAGAAACTATAACAACCCAAGATATTTGCAATCCTGGTAAGGCTTTGGCACAAATAATAAAATGAGAAATATGTGGTCTGATTGCATGAAAATTGAATTTTTAAAATATTTTAAATGCTTTAGAGAATGTCAAAATTTCATGAAGAATAAGCTATATGGCCACCTTTAGTAAATAACTAAAATTTAAAGTAGTAAGTACTTTAATGGAATAGATACTATTCAAATATTTTAAAATAACTCAAACTTTCAACCCAGTCAGCCCATTTGCAAATTGGCCAGCAAGATAAATCCAAATGTGAACAAAAACTTGACTCAGGTCCTTAAAAGGAATGAAAATTAGTTATTTTTAAATTTACCAAATTACAGCCATGACATTTCTTGTTCCTTTTAAAAGCAAATGACTTTTTAAAGCAGGGAGTTCCTTATAAGTTTTTAAATTATTTTTAACTCAAACATGAAAATGTTATGTATAACATTACTTTTACCATAGTTTTTCCCCCTAATATATAAAAACAATTCCTGTTCATTGCAATTAGTGTGGAAGTTGAGGAAAAAATTTTAAAATCTGAGAAAAATATACTCCCAATTTCATCACCAAGTGCTAGTATCTCCACATTCTGCAATAGTTCTTTCTCTAGTACTTGCTAGTACTCCATTTAGGAGGAAGTGACTATTTTTGCAAGCACAATCTCTCATGTAAAATTACAACAAAAACTTTTTCATATGCCATTAAAAATTCTTGGTGTGCGACACGCACCATAATTTGCTTAATTATTCTTTTAATGTTGAAACATCTTTGTGCATAAATAAGTGTCTGTATTTGGGTTATTTCCATAACATATATTCTTAGAAGTGAAATTACTAGGATGTTGGTACTATGAAAGTTCTTGATACGTGGGGCCAAAGTGATGTTCTGGAAGTTTATATACTTAATTTATACTTCCATTAACATTATATGAGAGTAGTTTTTTCCCGCTGAGCCTATGCCAGCATTGAGATTTACTGTTCTAATTTTTTAAATTTGATAGAAATGAGATCTTTTTTTCCCTTGAAGGTATTGAACTCATTTTTTAAAAAGTGGCTATGAAAATTTATATTTCCTCTGCCAATAATCTGCCCATGTCTTTTATCAATTTATCTTCTGGTGTTTTAGTACTTTTTAATTATTCTTCATCTGATGAGCTCTTTTATATATTAAAGATAATAACCAATGGTGCGTTGATAAATATTTAACAACCAGCAAACAATTTTGGGGGGGATCCTAGTTTATAGTGCTTGCCTATTTCATGGCATAACTAGACTTCCACTATGATTTCAAGTAACCAATACAATGACACTGAACTCAAAGATGGAAACCTTAATGCAGTCAGCTCTCACAGACAAATACACGTCCATCGCAAGACACCAAACTCTTGCCAAGAACATTTGTTGTTTTGCCAGTGTACTTTTTATGTTAATTGTATTTACAGTGTTTTTCACAAGTTTTGCATATTCAAATAGTTTGCTGCATAAGTTATGACGTCAAAGATTCAAAAATTCTTTACATATGCCATAATTTCTATTATTTATGGCTTAATTTGTGTGTACGCATGTGTTTATGTTTTCAGTGATTGAACCCAAAGCCTTCCGCTTGCGAAGCACATGCACTATCACTGAGCTACACTCTCAAACCCTCTGGTTTCATTTTAATCTATACTTTTAGTCTATTTTTTAAAAACTCTACACTGAGACATGATATAAGGTAAGGTCTTCTAAGTAACCCGAGATCCTAACACCTCTTGCAAAATTCCTCCTGATCAATATGTGAGTCCTTTCTTACAAGCCTTCACTGAGGTTCTCCTCACAATCTTACATTATGCTACTGGTCATTATTACATTACATCGAACCAGTTGGCAGTGCCACTACTACACTGATTTAGCCATCCTTCTCCTAAAAAGCGTTTCAGTATGTAGTAAATCAAGTTCCACTGCATCACTGTTATTTACTGAAAAAGAAAAGGAAACCCACTTACACAAAAAGATAAAACTAAGCTCTCACTAGTGTTTTTTGTTTTGTTTTTTGGTACCTGGGATCAGACTCAGGACCTTGGCCTTACAAAGCAGGCGACAGCACCACTGAGCTAAATCCCTGGCCCTTCTCACTAGTGTTTCTGATATTTTATGTTTTCTTTGTTTTTTTAATTGAGTTTATTGGTACATTTCAGGTATACAGTACAGTTACATTCATCATTGGGATCTTGTACCTTTCCATGACAGGTCTTGCTTCTCATTTTTTTCCCCTTGTCCCTGCCCTCCCTTCACCCCCTCATCCCCTTATTTTATGTTTTCAATTAATGCTTTATTTGCTCTTAGGTTGTCTTATTCTTCCAGTTTTAAAATGGGAAAGATCTATATATTCATTTGAATTACAAATTACAAGAAATAATTCAAAAATTCTTTTTTACCTAGTAAATTTGCAAGCCCACATTTAAACATAATTTTTCAAGTATAACAACTAAACTTGAATATTTCCACACATCACAAATTTGTGTTTTCCAGAGTTCTACACTCACTTTTTTCTCAACGAATAAACATTTTTGTATGTCAGCACTTCATACTGAAATTTTTCTGAGAATCAAGACAAACCTTTTATGTGGATAGGTAGGAGTTTTTAATTTTCAAGTTACTATTTATAAATAAGGGTAAAAAAAACTAAAAACCACTGTTCAGGACCATTTATTTTGCAGTATAAGAAAGTCAGCTTTACTTTTAAAACATCTGCTAAGGGCAAAATCTGAGCGTACGTGTGCCATGGAATCTCATGTTCTCTAAGAAATCTTTAGGAAAACACTTTTACTCTGTGTTTGCGAAACAGTTTGACTCAGATCAACTGTGTTCACTGTATTACCTGTCTTCACTGTGTTTCTGATTCCATCCCTAAGGGACCCTGGCTGATGCCATATTGAAAATGCTTTTTCTAAATTTGCCATCAATTTTGGAATAGATTTGTGCATGTGCATCTGAAAAGTTTTTATATCCGTGATGACCAAATGGCAACTCATGGCCATGTCAGCACAATAAATATATTCTACTTGGCCTATAGACTGTTTAAAGATTTTGAATATTTTTTACATTGAGAGAATCACATGAAGTCTAGATTCCTAGCTTTTGTTGACAAACTATTAAAATATCATTGCTACCTGGCCACACTCAACTGAAATCAAGCCATTGCAGCCTCCTGGATAAAACAGATCAGTTCTCTTGCAGAAAGGTCTGTTTCATTTGTTTGCCTTGTCTAACTACAAAATGCATTCACCTGTTTTAAATGTTTTATTATCACACATGACAATAATAACTGGGCTCTTTAACTCTGAATTACAGATCTTGGAAGACCAAATAAAAGCTCGAGACCAGACAGCCACGGGGACTAATTTTGCAGTGCAGGATCTAAACATCAAACACCTGCAAGGAGTTGGAGACCTGCGGGGAAGAGTCGCCAGGTAAGAAGCAGCCAGATCTTGGCCAATGAATTCTCATTTCCAAATAAATATATTGTCAAAACTAAGGTATCAACTTTACACTAGGCTAAACTGGTGAGACAGGAGTTGAGAAAATGTCCCAAAGAACTTTGAAAACCTCATGCTACCCATGGCATCCACAGGTTACTCAGAATGTCCAGTTTGGTTCCACTGGCAGTGACCAGATTCTTGTCTTTACAGAGCACAACTGCCCAAATGCCAATATCCATACACAGACACACCCTAATACGCACATGTAAAATTCCCGTACGTGTTAAATTATGATGAGTAAAATATACAAGGGTTAGATGAGAGAAGATAGGGACTTTGAGGCAGCCTCTTATAGCAGCCCAGCTGAGCAGCAGCAAAGAAGTACCCTAAGGCACCAGCGGTGAAGTCCAGAGCAACAGACAGACAGGCAACACAGGACGTGAACGAATACGGAAGGGGAGTTAAGGCAGGGAGTCAAAGACGACTACTGAAGCTTCTGGCTTGGACTGAAGAAAAGCTGAAATGAAGAGCAATTTTCACAAGAAAAGGGGAAGAGGATCAGAGGGCAATGCTGTGTTTGGCTTGCACCGCACTGTTTATGAGAAGTCTGTAGGGTATGGACCAGAATGGATGAGGAGCTCCAAGGGGAAGGTGCAGGGGTCGGAGGGGCGACTAGGTCTTCGGTTGGCCCACAACAGAAATGATTATTGGCTCTGGGAAATACTTTGCCATTCTGAAGTCTGGCTTCATTTCTCTAAAAAATAAAGCTACTGTTTAGAAAATAATATTCATGATTCCAAACTGGGGATTTAGCTCAGTGGTTCTGCTGCCTGCCTTGCAAGTGCAAGAATCCAAGTTTGATCCCCGGTACAAAAAAAAAAAAAAATGTGTGATTCCAAAACTCTCAAAGAACTGTCTGATAATCCAGAGACTATACATAAAAGTTGTTTATATTGTGCATAAGTAATAAAATACGTATCATTATAAAACTTATATAATATTTGATCGCAAAAGAATTTTATATCATATCTGTGAGTTATAAAGTCAGGTAATAAAGTGAGTACATGCAAACCCACAACTGTACTTGGATATATTTTTGCAAGAAGATATTCTGAATGAAATATGATTTGGCTCAAGTTGGTGGTGTGCTGATGACACTCCCACCATTCTGTATAAACCACTTACAAACCTGTTATTTTCCTCTTGTAAATCCTGTTTTGAATACAAGCCAAAAGAACAATTGGTTTTTAAATAAGCAAGAAGTTCATGGACTTTCATCAAGATGCACAACCCCTTTTGCCCTGCTGTGGTTGTTTTGTGTGCGTGTGCACATGCATGTAAGCATGTGGTGCTGGGGATGGATCCCAGAGCATTAGACACACTAAACACATGCTTTCCCACTGAACTACATCCCCCACACCGTATCTTTTTGATTTTTAATTTTTTTTTTTTTTTTTGGAAATAGAGTCTCACTATTTTGCTCATGTTGGCCTGGGACTCCCTGGGTTCTAGCAGCCCTCCCGCCTCAGTGTCATCCCACGACTCTCAGTCACTACCAGCATGTGCCACTCCATGCGGCTTGCTCCAGGATCTTACATGCACCTTTGTATTTAGTCTTCAGTGCTGACTCTGGGCCAAGTTCTTGTTTTTCCTTGAAGTGTCTCCTCTTTTATGGAAAATTTCTAACTCTAGTTTGTAATCTGAGACTGAATCTGGCTAAAAGCCATGAGAGGTAAATTCACCCTTCCTCTCCTGTTTCTTTTCTGTGTCTTTGCCAAACAAATGACTAATGGACAAGCTAAGGAATATTGATTACTGGCTTTTCACATCTAGTAACTTTAATTCCAATTAGAATTTTGGCGTAAGTGAAATTAGGTTGATTGTTTCAGCATAACTCCTAGCAAACACTTTGGTCTTCATAAATCAGGCTCGATATTTAACAATGTTCTTTGAATTTTACACCTTAGTACAAACTAGTATAGTGGTAGTTCAAAAGCAAACACTTCCAATGAACTGCAGCTCTCAGAGCTGCCCAGCCCACGTTTCACCCTCTCCTCTACTTGACTGATTAGTCTCAAGTGCAGAACAGGGAAAGGGAGAGAGCCCTGTAGGGCTGGCTATGACTTACAGTTTGGAGCAGCAGTCACAGGAGGCAGACAGCTGGCCACATTTGACTCTCTGAGACCAAGGCAAACCTGCGATTTAAAAAAATGATAAATTGTCTTGATGATGTATTGAAAGACAAAAATCATGTCCTTTGAAGAAACCTAGTGATATTATGGAAATTAGCAACTTTGAGAAAGTTAAGAGCGGATACTTCTGGCTAGAGGGCAGAATGAAGGTATTTTACTCCACTTCTGTCTCTTGAGACATCTCAATGCCCGAGGAAAAGAAAAAAGAGGAAGACGAAAACATCATCTTCGACATGAAATGAATTTGCCACAACTGCTAAGCACAGGCAGAGCACACTTACCATTGACTGTGAAAGGTAGTCTCTCAGACCTTAAATACAATCACTTCATCCAAATTGAATTGTAATCCCAAAAGGCTGAGGCAAAATAAACATAATAAAGCAGTATTTTGAGGGTCTTTGGTGGGCCATTGGAGACATAGGAACAACACAAGGCAGCTGGGAGGAGCAGCTGCACGTCCTACTGGCTCCTTATCGTGTCCTCTATTCAGGACCTTCCTCGTTGCCAGGGCACACCTGAGAGAGACTGGTTTGAGCACAACAAGCAGAGAAAGGAGAGGCGCGAGTGTCACAAGGGAGAAGCTATGAGCTACCTCAGTCTGTTTCTTAAGGGAACAATCAGGAGCAGTACCCCAGCCTGAGACTTAAGGAAATACATTTGATACTGAAAGATTCAACACAGCAGAGTATCTAACCTTTACCAAACACGCTCACCAATCTGCAACGAGCTAGAAACATTACAGGATGTCACTGAGATCAAATCTAACCATATACAAAAATCACCTCCACTACCGTCTCCAGGTAGGCACACCTGAAATGGATGGACGGATAAAACCTAAATCAAAGACTGATAATGTAGTTCGTGAGAGGAACCACCCAAAAAGTAAAAGTTCAAACCTAAAGTCTCCTTTCTTTCAAAGAAAGAAAGAGAAAAAGAAAGTGGTAGAAGATTGCTACATAAATAGTCATGTACAATTTGGCCCCTTCCAAAAAACCCTACTGAATCTACAGTAAAAAGATTCTCTCTTTAAAACATAAGTCCACAAGGACCAGAGGTATCAATATAATAGTCTTAGAACATAGAACACAGATGGATACGTGAAAAATGCCTTAGCAGATTTAATAAAGCCAACATCGGAGCCATGGGGTAAGCTGAGAACATTTGGGTTTCACACACAGAATTCCCACATGTCAGGCTCTCCTCTCCAGGGAGCGGATCTGACACAAGCCGGAAGAGGCAGGGCCAGGAAGCACTGTGCAGAGACCCCACCACCACCACAGAGAACACATTCAAAGACCTTGAGTAGGTGTCTGGGACCACAGGGAGGACTAACATCATTTGTACTGTTTTCCCTATATATACATACCTGTCATAAAGTCTAATTCATACAATAGGCACAGCAAGAGAGTAACAGTAACTCATAATAAAAATTATAACAATATAGTACAATAAAAGGCATGTGAAGGTTCTCTTTCCTAATATCTTACTATACTGTACTCACTTTTTCCATTTAATATTTTTAATATATGACTGATCCCAGGTAACTGTAACTGAAGACTGAAAAACTGGAGAAGGGAACATTATTACTATGGCGCCATTAGCCTTTTAGTTATTGGTGACTTTCACACTGTAGTCATGTCTTACTTTGAAAGGATACAAATAAATTTCAGAAATAAGATTCAAAAAGTTCACCCCCAAAAGGTTACCACATAACAAAAGGAGATAAATTGGAATTTCCAAGGGATAAGACAAAATAAAAACTTAAAATGTTAGAGGGATTAAATCTACTTTAGAACTGTAATCCCAACCCATGACTATAATCCCAGCACTCAGGAGGCTGAGGCAGGAGGATCACAGTGAGTTTGAGGACAAGTAAGTCTATACAGTGAGTTCAAGGCCAGCCTGAACTACATAGCAAGATCCTATCTCAAAATAAATACATATATACATACATACACTTTAGAAGTTCTTAAATAAATATAACTAAAAATAAGTTATAAAAACAAAATGCATAAGCAAATCACACCAATAGAAAAGAAAATTCTTTTTAATATACCATTGGATGTAGGAACATGATGTATGTGGCAAATAAGTCATAGACCTAATAGAAAGTCCTGAAGAAGGAACAGAATGGATTCTTCAGAAAAATATATCCATGGCTTTAAGAGAAGAATTGTATTGAGACAGTCTCTGGATCAAAAAATAAAACCCTGGAAAAACTGATATAACAATTAAACCAACATATTCTGGTTGACATTACTGAATATCAATGATAAAGAATCACCAAGCATGCAGACAGACAAAGCATCTAAAAGAATAAAAAAATCTAGGTAGCTGAGACATCTCTGCCTCTACCAATGCCACAAAAAAATGGACCTAATGAAAATAAAATATGATTGTTTTAGTTACTTTTCTTGTCACTGGGACAAAACACCCAACACTTACAACTTAAAAGAGGAGAGGTTTCTTTTGGCTCACGTTTTGGACATTTCAGCCTTTGTGCAGTCAGCAGCGTGATCGAAGGGCTGGGTGGAGAAAAGTTGCTCGAGTCATGGCAGCCAGGAAGCACAGAGAAAATAAGGAGCCAGAGAGGACTATATACCCTTTCAAGCCACACCCCCCAGTGACCTCATCCAACCAGGCCCCACTGCCAACATCACATTTAGCTCTCCTGCCCCTAAGATTCCATCACTTTTCAAAAGTCCCACCTATGAGCTCAGGAGGCTTTGAGGGGACATCTAGATATAAACTGAAACAAGGATCTTAAACAAGATTCCAGAACTTAAAGAATAACACTCTGGAACTCTTCTTTCAAAATCTGGATGGAAAAATATGTAATATCAAGGAATAAACCAAAGTCAAGGATCTCAGGGGGAAAAAAAATCATAGTTTAAAGGATTGCTAAAGAACATAAGATAGCTACAGGATGAAGACTGAGTACACGTGGGAATTCTTGTTAAAGAACACAGCGAATGGCCCTACAGTTTGACGTTTGCAAAATGGTAACAAAAACAATTGAAAGAACAAGAACTTAAATTTATTTCCTCATTTTTGAGGGCACATGGTTAACAGATGCTAAGGTTGAGATGGTAGTCATAAAAAGATAACAATTCCAATCTATGATAGCTTTTGATAACTTCATTTTTTAGAAACAGATCTCACACAGTGAAGAGATGGATACAGTCAGCCTTCTGTATCCATAGATCCAAGCACCCTTGGAGACATTCTTCCTTGTCGTGTATCCCTAAATAATGTAACTGTTCACGTGACATTTAGGGTCCATTAGGTTTTCAATTAATCAAGCAACGATTTAAAGTATATGAGATGTGCGTGACTTATGCACAAATATTATTTCGCCATTTTATATAAGGGACAGAAGCATCTGAGGATTTGGGTATCTCTAGGGGGAGGGGAATTGTAGGTTGTCCTGAAACCATTCCCCTACGTATACCAAGGGAGGGTTGTACATAAATAAATACATGTGTGAGTGTGTATTATTTTGATCAGGACTGTAACCAAATATTACCTGTAGCCCAGCCCAGGTCCCGAGCCCCACCCTGTGTGTCCCAGCCACCTGTGGCTGACTCACCCAGACGACCTTGACCTTGTTGCAGGACCTAGACCCACTGCTTTGTTCTTCCTGACGGGGGAGGGTGGGGGTGAGTGACAAAGAGACACAGATTCAGTTTAACAGGCGGGCGGCGGCTCAGCCGGCAGAGGAGCCCCCAGAGCCTGGCTCACCTTGTCTTTATTAACCCAATCACTGGGCAAGCAATGAAAGGAACCCAAGACTCATCTGCTTTCCAACATCCATCAGAACATACTCTGGTAAACAACTCAACCTCAGCTGTCCTAAGTTTTCCCAGTCACCCCTAAGAGCAGCCTTTCTCCTTTGTTCTCACAGAGGAGGCCAATTAGGCTCCATTCCTCTCTGGTCTCCGGCAGTTAACAATATTATTTTCTGAAAGGTGGGATTTGGGATGATGCTCACTCTTCTGTTACTTTTTTATATTCTTTGTAGTTTTTGTAAAAAGTTTTACAACGGACACATACTATTTTAACAGAAACAAAATCACTCCACAGAAGAAGACAGAGAACTGCTCATCAGCCCTTGCCTGGAACGTGTATGGGGTTAGGCTTGGGTGGGGGTGAGGTTGGGAGGATGAGAATAAATCCGTGGCCACGAGGAGGAGCAAATAAATAGCAGCTGCTCAGCTTGTCTGTGACGCCCTCCGTGCGGGGCACTGCCTCAGCGCTCTGCGTTCATCGCCTCCTCCCATCGTGAAACACCTTTGTGAACTCATAGTGCTCGAGGTGGCCGCCACAGCTCTGAAGGCTGAGCACGCAGCCTCCTGGACAGACATCCACGCAGTTGCCTGTGTGTCTGGCACCCACGGGAAGGTGTGGGAGACAAACTGTGCAGTGTCCTTGGTATCATTATCCCTTTGCAATTTGGATAACATCACAGATGTTAAGGAACTTGGCCCAGACCAGAAACCCAGGATGTCGCAGAGACAAATCTCAAAGCCTGGGGTATATGACCCCAGAGGCCAAATTCTTAACGCTTCCACTGCCCGGATCAGCTGTCCCTAGGGGTGGGGAGCAAAGATGAGATGGAAGGAGGTGACAGACATGGTGGCAGTAATAGCTGCTCCTGTAGTCTCTGGGAGTCTTAAAATGGACATAAGGACATTCCAAATAGTCAAAAACAGGGCTGTTGTTCTGACAATGACACTTTCAACACACAAATGTGTAGAATGACTTTCAACTATGACTTGTGTGCATGGCATCTTGTGCTCATTCTTAATCAAGTTGACTCCTAATGTTTTCTCCCAGTAGCCTCCCGTCCTTAAACCCCCTCCCCGAGTTACCTGGCCATCCCAGGTAAAGTTACCAGCTATGCTCACCTTTGGATCAACGTTTTGGTACCAAAAATCTTAAGGAAAAAAATCAATTCTGGATCCTAAAAAAATACTGACAGTCATAAAAGAAACAATACTTACAGCACTTAGAATGAGAACATGAACATGTGGCTCCTAATAAATGCTACTGGATGACGGTCAAAGCATTTATTTTACAAAATGACAACTACAAAGTGATCCCAGATAATTCAGATATATGAAGACACCTATGTGCTTTCTGTCTCTCCTGCACACCTGCACATTTACTGAAACTGATCATTAAGGCCATAATCTGCTGTGTCCCCAGAGAGGCCTCAGGTAATGGTAAAGGGGTCAGCTTCTGTGCATTTTTCCTTACTGGTGCTCTGGGGAGCCTGTTAATCTTCAGTTCAGCTTTCAGAGTTCCTTCCCTAATGTGTCAAATGCCACTTTGGGCCCAAGGCTCCATTAGTGTATGAATGTCAATTGTTTCTGTCCTGAGGTCAGGCGATACCTGAATGACACCACTCTAGGGACAGCGGTTTGGGGGCCAAATAAAACTTTGTCTTATTTGATTATAGATTGGAGGATGTTTTTGGATGGGACACCTTTTCTGTTTTAAGGAGAATTAGCAGTCTAGGAAGGAAAATGGATTCGGAACATGATGTAGAAGAGGAAAAATGACCCATTTTGCCTAGCTACAAGTAGTAAGGTATATTCCCAAGACATCAAATTTGCTAAGTCTCTCTTGACTGAGTCAATACCAAAAATGTAAACGGTTCCTCAATGTACCCCAAGGGCCCTATGTATACTAACTTGGGGGCTCTGGTTTGGACCAATGTATCCAACCTGGTTTCTCTCATCATTAATAGAAAAGAAAAACGAAGCAAAGAGATTCCTATATGTGCTCCTACATCTCCGAGCACGTTATTCAAAGGACTCAAGAACTTTTGCCATCAAATGAATGTACAGATCCTACTATATTGTATGCAAACTGTTATGAGCCTGTGGATCTCAACGCACATCTCCCTCTTGGCACCAGGTGTGATTCAAGCATTGTGAAGCTTTCTGGAGACATCCACACCATCAGGCACGAGCACCGGCAAATTGAGAAAGCAATTCAGGAACTCATATCTGCTCTAGAGACTGTTTCCAAAAACTTGGATATAAAGGTAACTGAAAATAGACAGGACTTTTACGTGTTACTGCCAGAAGTAAGATCATTATAGCTTACTCAAATGCCCAGTCAGGTGATGATTTTTAAAAAGAACGCCTTCCTTCAAAAGAGTTTTAATGGCACAGCTCATTCACAACCACCATCAGTGCAGTCAGCTCGGGCAGCAAGTATTTAACCAGTACCACCATATTCCTACCCAGCTTCCCTTGCGAGCATGGCCTGCTTGGATGCACCACTGCCGTGGCTGCCTTACCCTCCGACTACCCCTCTGATCCCTGTGGAACCCGGGATTCTAAGAAAATGAATTCCCCATAGGAGTTATTATTATTAAAGATCCAACAATACAAGTGGATCGTGTTCCATCCCTATTTAAAACCCTGAAATAGGTTATCTCCTACAAAAACTATGAAAGTCCTTTGGCCCAGACTTTAAAGGCCATCTCTTCACTGGCCCCTGCTGATTGCCTGTGCTTTCTGACCTACTCTTTATTTAGACTCAGTGACGCTAACCCAGTGGTAAGTAGCTACCTCATGATATATTGGGCTGTTCCTGATATGTGATATGCTTACTATCATTTTCTGAGTAAATTGTCATTGCAGCGATGATTTACTCCTTAGTACTTGTATCAGTCTAGATTGTTTGAGCAACAAATGCCATAGAAAGTAGGTGAATGGGAGATTTACTGAGACAAAAATCTATAAGGAAAAATGGGGAGAGAGGCGGATGAGACAGAGAGTATCCAGGCCGCAATGCAGGTCAGATTCCTGTAAATGACAGGGAGGGGAGGCTGGAGCTGCTGCGCCAGAAAAAGCATTTATCAAGTTTCTTCAGTGAACTTTGAGGTATCAGACCCTGGCTGGAGAACCTACGGAGGGGCAGTGTGGACACACAGTGACAGGTTCCGAGTGCAGCGCTGGGGCTCTCAGCCAGTTCTAGCCCTTGCAGTAGACCTCAAAGAAGTGTTTTCATGTGAATCACTAGAATGGAGGACCAGAATTTAAAAAGTGCTTTCTTTTATCTCAAGTGGCTGAAGTTTTTGTTCCTTCATGTGCACTTTGCTTATTAATTTCTACTTTTGTGCAGTAAGAGTCATGGCCTATGCTTCTTCCACTTTGGGTGATAGTCCAGGATGTTTTATAGCAGCGAGTGCTTAGTTGTTGCAAATGTTCTTGGATTCTGGGGAAGCATGAATGCTGAATGCTTGTAAGTTACATGGCTTGGTATGTAAATCTATTAAATAAAATTTATATTTTTCACATGGTCCTATATCTTTATTTGCATTTTACTTATTTGACCACTGAGGAATAAAGAAAAGCCACTTAAAATTAGTAAAATATCTCCTGTGTTTGATTTTCCTAAATAGCTGTTGCTCTGTAGTTTAATACCTAAAGTAAACAATGTTCAAAATTCTTTCCTTTTCATTATGGGTTTTGCTGCTCATTTTAAAAATTGTCACCTTTGTTTCATTTTTTAATATATTTTTGCCTTGAATAACATTTTATCTAACATTAATGTTACTCCACCTGCTTTCTTTTCCTTATCCTTTGCCAGGTATGGAGGCAAAGGCTTATTGCTTATCGTTCTGTCCCACAGTTCTGCTTTACAAGGTTGTAAGTGTGCACCCTGCAGACTAGCATTTGGGTGCAATCCATTACCCACCGTATCTATTCAAAAACCTATTATTCACCTCCCTCCTGGTTAGGGGGACTCTGGTTGCTTTAAATGACCACTTTCTTTCATGTGATCATAAGGTGCAGGAGTAGAACTGGTTAACCCGAACCAATCATGTTTTACTCTCCCTGACAGCGGTAAGTTTAGACAGAAGTATGTGCTGCAGTTCTGCATCCATATTTTAATCCAGTTCCTCACCCTAACAGAACTTCCTCACTGCTACTAGGAATGCCAAGGACACTCTTGCTGGTAGTTTCACAACTGACACTTGAGTTTCCCAGTCTGTATTCCCTCAGCCAGTGCACCTGTGATTCGTCTGTGGTCTTGTCAGAATGCAATCCAGGAATGGCGAAGGCGAAATCTTAATGCCAGAGCCTTAGTGTGCATTTAAACACTTATTCCTTAGGTGTGTGTTCAGCATTTACTACTAGTGACCTAATGTTCACTAAAAATATAGGGGTGAAAAGATACAATGGCTTACCTTGTAACTGGGGAGGCATAAAGCAAAGAAATAATCAAATGAAATTAATAAGCAAACTTTAATGGCACATTATAGGTATATATTAGGTAGCCTATTTTCAAAAAGAGTATTATAGTCGTGGAATGGAACCTTCCCTATTATTTTTTAAATAGTATGACTCTTTCTGAGAATCACACTCATTTGAAGAAATCATTTTCGAAAGCAAACATGCATTCAAGTCTGTTCCTAGCTCTTTTAGGGATAAAGAATTTATGTAACCGCTGGTGATTTTGCTCACACACAAAAAAGCTCCTTCTTATACTTTCATTAGGTAACACAGCTCTTAGGAAAGATAGAGGCTTCCACCTCTGAGCAAACTTCAAATTTAAAGATGATCCAGGGAGATTATCGCCATGAAATGAATCTTTTGGAATTCAAGTAAGTGAATGTTAGATTTTTAATTCTGTTAAGTACATTCCGAAGAGTTTTGCCTAATGAAAGCATTGGCATTAACTAAAAACCTATCCCACGAATCTGAACCCAGCCAAGCAATAAAGTAGCAAATCAATGCATAAAATATTCTACACTAAAGTCACTTATACCATATTCCTGAAAGAATAAATATAAATATTAATTTTGTCATTCTCTTTGTTGGCTTACTATCTCAGCTAAATTGTCATACATATGCTGACCTATGGAGTAAATTTAACATTACTAATTTTATATTAAAATGCCTCAATGAAAAGCACCATTGAATATAAACTGAGTCCCCAAGTTATTGAATGTTTTAAAGCAATTTTGATTTATAAGCTTTTCCTTTAAGATTTCCTCAAAGATCTTCTTACTCCTTTGCATCATTTTTTTTGCATCATCTCTTTTTAAAACTGCTCCTTATCTCATCTTACACTGCCTTTTTCTTTATTCAGTGGAGTGAAGGAGATAAATCTCCACAATGTTCAAATTGCTGCCTCACCTCAGATCTCTCTTGTTTAAATGGCCCCCAAGTCCTGCGATTGTGGTACAGGGAAAGAAAATTCTAGTCATTGGATGATGCTACCGCACTGCCCTACTCCCTTTCCCCTCCGTGTCTCATCCCATTTGGGTTCTAACATCTTGATTAAATCCAGTCCTGATAATACTCTGCTTTCTCCATTTTCCCTGTCTCAACTGCACTGTACTAACTCTAAGCCCCTGACAATAAGATGCACTGCTACACTTTTGTACCTCTAAGACACAAAGCCAACAAAGCATAGCGTGCCATCATCTTAACACCTATTTTGGACGTAATAAAATGGAAAGTGTGCGTATCCTACAAATGATGAAAAAACCTGAGTGATCACTAGAACCTAGACAAGTGGATGTCTTGGATAAACAAATCTATTTACCTTTTTCATACCCGGACAAAGCATTTTTAAATTATTATTCTTAAATTCTAGCACAAGAAGGGTGCTCAGTATTTACATACCTGTGTGGTGCTTGAGCTGATCATTTTAGTTTGGTATTATGACAAAAAGCAAAACCAAATGAAAAGTAGAAAAGTAAACTGTTTCTACAAGTACAGTTTAAGAATTCATTTCCTAGTGAAGAGGTGGATCTTATAATCCAGAATGATAGACTAAACTAAAAGGACAAATTATACTAACAAATAGGAAATATTTGCGACCTAGGGCTGACCTGACCACATTATCAATGATACGCAGAATTTTCAGTCTTTAGTACTACGGGAAATTGGCTTATAGGTAGATGGCTCAGTCATAAACATAGATAAGAATCTGAGAATTTTTGTAACAGTGTGATCTACATCTTTTGCATTTTAACTATGGAGTCAAAATTTCAGTACTACGACAATAGATAATAGTGAAGCTATACACTGTATTTTCTTTAGAAAAATAATTATGGGCACCATCATAAATTTAGATACATTGTTTAAATTTTCTCCAACTTTTAAAAGAAGTAATGTGTACTTACTGTTCCAAAATAAAATAAAAATGAATAAAAAGATCACCATTTCAGCTTCCTAATGCAACCAGTGTTAAGAGCACAAACATATCTTTCCTCGATTTCTTGTTAATAGGAATATATAACAGAATAAGGATATATACATATATAGAAAGAAGGAACAGGTTTTTAAAAGTAAATCATATAGCTGGGCCTGTAATCCCAGCACTTGGGAGGCTGAGGCAGGAAGATCACTGTGAGTTCAAGACCAGCCTGGGCTACACAGTGAGTTCCAGGTCAGTCTCAACCACATAGTGAGATCCTGTCTCAAAAAAAATAAAAAAAAAAAAACAAGTAAATCATATATATTACTCAATAATTTGCTTTTTCCCATTTTATCTTGCCTATTTTTCAAATTCAATGACTATCAGCCTAACATTATTTTTAAAAGCTGCATAATATTGCAATGTACGTGTGGCATAACTATTTATCTTATTGTTAGTAGATTTTTAAAAGCTGTATCCTTAGATTCTGGTGCTATTTCTATGTGCAAAATTCCAAGGTCAAGAAGCACCTGTTCTTACCACTTTTCAAACCTTGTATTGGAACTTTAAAAGTCATGTTCTCACCAGTTTGTAGGATTCCTTCACATTAGGGACATTAGTCCTTTGAATGAAGTATGGATTATAAACATATTTTGCACAACAAGAAAGTAAGGTAGGGAGGGCTCTCTAAAATGGAACATTAGACTCTAGCTTTTAACAAGATTTTCTTTGAACAAGTAAGCCATGATGTTAAAAATGTATGTGAATCATTGCTAATATTACAAATTTGAGATATGTATAAATTTAAAATTAAAGTGAATTTGCTGTTCTTTTTCTGAAGGTAAAACTGGCTTTGAATAAGGGGACAGTAACTTCAACAAAAGCATTTTAATGACATTAAAGGTTAATCTTAAATAAGCAATTTTCCACTTAGAAACTTTAACAAATTCAAGGTTAGTTGTCAACTAAGCTTATATTGTATATTGAAGGCAGATGCCCAAGGCCATGTTGTCTCAGGGTTCTGGGGTTTTCTAGTGAATCCCTAGAACTTTGGTCCAGATCACTGGGGCACTGGAACCTCTGCGAGACCCTCTCCTTCTAGAAGTGCCTGAGTCAGGTGTTCAGCTAAGTGATGGCCTAAGCCAACAACTTAATGCTTATATAGCAAGAGCCTTTCACGACAGTGAAATGCATCCGTCTTCACTAAATGTTTGGCAGTGGTAGCATCTGCCAGTCACTCCCTAGATCTTAATAGGAATTATATTTGTTTATTTCTTTATTTTTGCTACCGGAGATCAAACTTGGGACCTTGTGCTCACAAGGCAGGTGGCAGAACCACTGAGCTAAATCCCCGGCCCCTTAGTAATTTATTTAAAAAATAAAGAAAAAAAGTATTTAGTTAATGAAGCAAATGCACAAACTCAAATCTTATCACACCACCTTGAAAATGTTACCACAGTAGGAAGTTAAAAAACTATAAGGCAGGACTCCGTCTCATTCATATTTGTACCCTTAAATAGAAGCTGATATCATAAATTAGTGATTTTTTGAGTACCTACAAGGTATAAATTTTGTTTTGGAATGTCCCAAGACACAATCCCAGGCACATAGAGTGGAAAGAAAATGTAAATAAATGGAAAGCAAAATGTAGACAAAGAAATAAAGAGAGTTAACTAAGATATGTCAGGCAGAAATAATATTGTCACCTACAAATGCATACCAGTAACTAAGTCTTCAAATATGTCCACTGCACACTGCCCTGAAGGGTGAGTCTTATCCCCATTTTAAAGATGAGGACATTTATAATCATTGAGATTAAGGAATCTGCGCCATTCACACAGCTAGAAAGTATCTGATTCCAAAGCTCAGGTTGTTTTTATCAGCCCATAATGCCTCCATTTTAGGACCCACCCTATTAATAAATAAATTGTGCTACAGAAATTTAGGGAAGGGAAAGATTATATTGCTTGAGTGGCCAAGAAATAGGCTATGAGGATATTAGGATTTAAGTTCATGTATAATTTAGAATGAACAAGAAATAAGTCTTCCTATGAGAGTGGAATTAGAATTGCTTTGTAACTGATTTCACTAATTAGAAATCACAGAACATTAATAAGAAATTAGTTTAAGAAGGCTCTACCTATAGGTATAAACTTAGTAGAAAAAAATATTTCTTGGAATTAATCTCTTGCTTATCATCTTAGACTCTATTGCCAAGCATAGTAAATGGTCTATCTTAAGCACTTTTTCAAATATAATTACAAAAACTGAAACTATCATCTGTGTTATCAGTTCATCAGAGGCCACTAGTTATTTTTTTACATTCCCTTTTGGTCAAAGCCACTATGTGAACTCTTAAGAGCCTGTTAGCAGTAAGTGTCCAAGAAATCAAAATCATCATCTTTTAAAAATTTCATTTAGTAGACTGTTGACTGCAGGGCACCAGCTTGGGGACATAAGTGAACTGGTGAACTGGCTTAGGACAGAGCTAGTGTTTGTTGTGTGTCACTCAGATCCTTGCTGTATGTTCACTCTGCCTTCACCGTCATCGCCACCCACTCTCTGTCCTGGGATCTGCTGTGTCTGTTGTTTCCAACTAACTTTTCCTTTCTCTATGTAACTTTTTTTTTTTTTTTTTTGGTACCAGGGATTGAACTCAGGACCTTGCACTTGCAAAGCAGGCGGTGGAACCCCTGAGCTAAATCTCCAGCCCATAACTCTCTTCCTTAAAATTGCCCTCAGTGTGGATTTGAGCCTGATTCTGTCAATATAAAAATTTTAAAAAACAGTCAGTAGGCTACATTCTCCTAATGGTGTCTGTAGACACAATTTTAAAGTATGATTTTGTGTTCTGAGAAAAATGAAAGAAAAAGCCATCTATCTATCTATTATCTATCTTTAATAAAAATACTTCTACACTCAGAGGAATAGAGATTTGACAAGTAAATTGTGGCATTTTAAGACAAATTCATTCTATTGAGATTTTAAATGTGAACTTTACAATTAAAAGACTCAGGGCAAATCATGTCCATTTTGCTAGGAAAAGTCTAAGCAAAGAAAAACATTTAAATAAACCTTTATTTTATCCTTTTTATCTTTGTAAAAGAATGTTTTTTACAATTCTTTCATATTTTAATGAATTACCAGCAGATAAGAGTCTAAGTTCAGATTGTTTACGGGGAAGTGAACCTCCAAATGCAAGCAAGCCTTGAAATAAAAGGCTCATAAATAGTAATTCATTTTTATGGCTTTAATTTCAGAATTTCAATTACTGATTTGCCTTTCCAGAGATGTTACTTAGGTACATTTAGTGGCTCCTTGGTTTTCAGAAAGATGTTAACAGTTTGAGTAATAAGAGAGGAAATATCCAACATTTATTATACAGTAAGTGATTGCCAAAGGCTAGATTCTCAACTGTAAGGTATCTCTTGATTGTCTGGGGACTTACTGTCCCTCTTAACCCGCAGCATTAATTACAACTTCCACTAGATACGGGGGAAGGAAGATGAAAATCAAAACAGAGTATGTTCCTAAATGGTTTGACAAGTATATGTTGTTCTTAAAATAAAAATCAAGACATATCATGTACAGGTACAAATTCCCTTATGATGAATGTGATCATTATGCATACCTAAAATGTACCAATAAACAAGAAATAAAAGACATTTGAAGAGAAAGAATGACCCATTTGTTGCTTTAGTTGATGCCTATTAATGGCGCACTTACTATATCGCAGCAATGAACAAAGAAAAAAAAAACCCACGTTCATGGAGCATTAAGTTGTAGTGGAGGACATAGCCCACACCTTAGCCTGTAGCAGAGGGTGCTGAGCACTTCGAAGAAAAACAAAAGAAGTTAAGGGGATAAGAGGAGTCACATGAGGAGAAAGGATCCTTTTGAAGCAAGTCAAAAAGAGGGCTGTATGCGCAGGTGGTGTTTGAGGATAAACATGAGTCTCTGGAAGGGATCTCTGGAGGGAAGCAGCAATAGGCTCAGAGTGCAGGGGGCGCGCGTCCTTGGGCCTCCAGCAGCAAACCAGAGGCAAGGTGAATGGAAATCAAGACTAGAGTAAGAACAAAAGCAGGAACCAGCTTAGTCTTCGGCAATGTTGAGGCTCCCGTCTCAATCAAAAATATGCTTTCTATGCTGTGGATATCCCTGTGTCCAAAATAATGTGAGGACTCAGGATGAAGATCAGAATTTAGCTGATGTGCCAATATATAACTACTGGAAAACAAAATGACTTTTCCCGTTCTTTGCTTTCATCATCTAAATCAGGGTTTCCCAACACCAGCACTATTGATCTGGCTGCTTTTTCAAATAGTATTAGAGCCAGGCATGGTGAGGCAGGACTGTAATCCCAGCACTTGAGAGGCTGAGGCAGGAGGATCACTGCAAGTTCAAGGCTGGCCTGAACTACCTAGGGAGACCCTGTCCCCCAAAATAAAATAAGGTGAACTAAAATAACATGGTATCAGGGATTGAACTCAGGGCCTTCTCACTGAGCTCCGTGGCCTGCCCTTTTTCATTTTGAGACAGAGTGTCACTAATTCACCCAGGCTGGGCCCAGCCTTGTGGCCCTCCTGTTTCAGCTTCACAGGTGCTGATATAACAGTTGTACCACATCACACCAGGCTGCCGCTGGGTAATTCTTTCTTGTGGAGATGTTCTTTGCATTGCAGGATGTCTAAAAGCATCCCTGGTCTCTTCCCACTAGAAGCCAGAAGCACATCTCAAAACAACCCAAGCTGTCTCCACGTGTTACCAAATGTCCCCAAGGAGGGAAAAATAACAATAAAAAAAAACGGAAATGATCATATGGCCCTTGTCTTACTACGAGACCAAACACTTTTTCAGGGGAGGCAGACACATGCAGTAGATGTCCACCCTGTCTTCAGCTTTCTCCAGTGATAAACAGAACTGATTAAATTCTCTGTATATCCTTTGGCCTGAAAACATCACAGCAATTATTACTTTCATTGTAAGTGCCACACATTGGACGCAGTGTGAATATTTTCAGTAACAGATACCGTTTCCCTGCCAATCTGAACCCTGAATCCCCATCCCTGTATCCCTCAGCCACCTCAGATGCAGATTTCCCTTTCTGCCCTCAGCAACTCTACAGTGATTTTTAGATTGAGGGTTCATTTCCAACCCCTTTCATCACTATAATGACATCCACTCCCATTTTTTAAAAAATCCTGTAATCTTTTTCTTTTCCCTTCCTCTCCCCTTCCCCGCTCCCCAGTTCCTCTTTCTTTTGAGCAAATTCTTAAAGGAGAAAAGAAGGATAAAACGGAAATAAAGCTTTGTAAATAAGGAGGAGAGGAGGGGTTGAAAGGAGGGGAGGAGAATAGGAAAGAAAGAATCAAGATTTATCATGTACAGGGCCTGGGATTTAGCTCAGTGGTTCCACTGCCTGCCTTGCCTTGAAAGTACAAGGTCCCTCCTGAGTTCAATCCCCACTACCCAAAAAAAAAATAATAATAATAAATACATATATGTGTGTGTGTATCTTGTACAAATTCCTTATGATGAATGATAATTATGTATATCTAAACTGTACCAATAAACTGAATGAAAAATCCTTCATTCTGTTATTTAACACTCACACAGTACATCATCTTGATGGCAGCCGTCCCCTCCTGCACCTGTTAGCTCTATTTTTTGCTCCACGTAACAGCGTCTTTCTAAGCACATTCATACCCCAGCACTACCAAAAATGCTTACTCTCAAAGATCCACAGGTGGTGATGGAGACTTAACTGAAGACCTCACGCGAGACAGCGACAACCTAAAGTTGCCCTCGGGCAGGGCATCCCCAAGGTCCCGCTGCTGCGGGCTCTTCCCGGTCCCCTGCCTCTGACTCTTCTCCCTGGGTAGTGCAGGCTCTCTCTACCCCAGTACCTCTCCCAGCCTCACACCCGCACCTGAGAGGCAGGGGGCTCCAAACTACCACCCAGAGCCAGTCTTCTGTGGCTGTGAATGGTTTTACACTTTTGAATCCTCTCTTTCTAAAGAACTAGATAGCATGACATGTACATATTACCTACAACACAAAGGGCAGCGTACGTAGCAATCGGAACACAGCCGCGTTTGTCTTGCACGTTCTTCTGTCTGCAGCTGCTCTCCTGCTGCAATACAGTGAGGGGTGGCCACAAAGACCAGGAGGCCCACAAAGCCCAACACGTTTACAAGCTGGCCTTTTACAGAGAGCATCTGGTAACCCCTCCCTAGAGTAGTACGCCCCACTCCCCGTGACCGGTCAGTTTCTCCTCCATACACAAGGAGCCCTCAACCTGAGAGGAATTCTGCACGGACGGCAACTGCACTGCTGTGTGGCTGTGTTAGCTGTAAGCTGGCAGTGTACCCCTGACTCTGTGTAGATATTTTAGGGTACTCGGAGGGGTGTTGATAGCAGGGCCCCAGGGTCAGAACCTTTGTTGCTCATCTCCCATGTTACCCCACATGCAGCCTCATCTTCCTGCGGATAGTTTAGCATTAAATTTTTTATTTTTTTATTTTTAAATTCACTTACTAAAACAGATCAAAACATCTTTCCCTAGGTTCAACTCTCTTTCAAGTAATGTGTATGAAGAAGTTGAGAACAATCAAAAATGGACAGGAAATCAATTTCTCAAACACAGACAAGACCTCCTGGCCCATATAAACGAATGTCTGAAAGCGCTGCAGGAGAAACTGGTAAGCAGCTCTGTTACTTCACGGGGTTCAGCTGCATGGTCATTGTGTGGGTGCTCACCACGAGGAAAGGTCTGGAAGGTCTCCCTTCAATATTTAGAGTAATCTAACTGTTCAGCATTGCAATAGGAATCCAGCAACCTGTCTTCTGGTCCTTTTTGTTACTTCCCACATCTCATTCTGCTCTCCTTTTACCAAAACAGCCCAGAGTTTCTTTCAAAAATACAGATTCTTTCCCTACTCCTAGGGAGCCAGCTCTCTGGGGACCTCCACTGGGAATTTGTGCTTCTAGACAAGCTTCCTGGGTGATGCTTACGCACAAATAAAGCTTGGAAACTTTTGGTCCAACAAGTAATTCAACCTCTCTGGAGATCTGCTAGTAGGTCACAAGTTTTCAAAACTCCTTTTTCAAATCAGACGATGTGAAGAAAGCCCAAGCTTTGGGGCGAGGCTGCCAGGGTGCTGAGAAATTCACTTATTTCATATTCTCTTCTCACTACCAACCAACTGTGCCGTCACTGTGGTCAGGGGCTGCAGTTACACTGGACATTTAGATGTTTGAGAACTTTGGTAAAGGAGTTTTAGGCAACTTGTTTATGTCTCCAGCCCCTATCTGAGCTTGCAAATAGCTCAATGAGGTAAGAACCAAGAGTCGGAGGGCAAACAGTTTCACCAACAGACAAGGATATCTCCGCAGTCAGCTCTGCAGCTGTCAAGTGGGCTTGCTAGGTCTCCACCCCCAATTAGGCAAGTCCCCTATCAGCTTCAGGCAGCACTAGGTGACTCTGGGGGTCACCCTGGAGGCAGAAGCTCCCAGAAAGGACAGGAGACTGGAATCCACCATTCCTGAGGTAGAAAGGGCCAGAGAGGAGCAACAGAGAGGCTACGCCAGTCAGGCCCAGTTTCTGCCCCCAAATTCCGTGTGTGAGGTGAGAAGAGAATTCACTTAAACTGCCTTGCACCCTACCCTGCTGCCTAGGAGAATCACTTGGAGAGCTTTCAAATATATGAATTCCTGAGCTGCATAATAAATGTCAGAATTTCTGGAGGAGAATTTGATCCGGGAAATTGAAATAAATAGCTGGCATGCAGAGTGGGTCCACACGGTCCCATGAAGTTCTGGGGAGTAGGGACTCCGAACACTTAGGAGCACGTCCATGGGACACAGGGAAGGGAAGCCAAAACATTTTCCTTTGCTACCCTTCTTTAAACACTAGACTAAAAAGTTGCAAACCCGCAAAATATCTCAGCAAAACCACAGTCTGCTTCCATAAATAAGAATTTTATAATTTCTGAGAATTTTAGAAACTACAAACAAACAAGGTCAAAACAGGGATGAATTCTGTTTGTGAACAGTTTTGGGTATAAGAGATCTTGGTTTGAATGTTCATAGTTTAATGGAACAAGAAACATGCTAAGAACATTTTCTCCAACCTGAAATATAAATTCATCTAAGTTTTCTTCGTTAGAGAGTTTTATCACATGATTTCTTTCCTAGGAAAAGTCTACAGATAGAACGGAAGGAAAAATGATGCAGCTGTCAAGCAAATTAGAGAATTTCATCAATTCACAGAAACAGGGAGCAGAACTAAACAAAGTAAAGCACATAGAAAATAAATTGTCAAAAAAGATGAACCAAATGGAAAAGCAGATCTGGGGTGAATTAGAAAAAATGCAGAACGAGTATCAATCAGGTAAGCCGCTACTTTTTATTAAGTAAAAAACCTATCTTTTCTTGTACAATTCCTCAAAGTTTTCTATTTTGAGGAGTCAGTCTTGTCGTCGGTGATACCATTATGTATTTAATCTGGCTTTCTTAACCCCCTGTAGGGTGTTAACCTACCTCTGGGATGTATGTAAATAAGTCAGCTTTTTTTTCTTTTTTTCTTTTTCTTTTTTTTTTTTTTTTTTTTTTTTTTTGGTTTTTTGAGACAGGGTCTCACTATGTAGTTGATACTGACCTGGAATTCACTATGTAGCCCAGGCTGGTCTCAAACTCACAGTGATCCTCCTGCCTCAGCCTCCCGAGTGCTGGGATTACAGGTGTGTGCCACCACACCTGGTTTGTCAGCTTTCTTCATCCACTCTAGGCGATGTCACAAACCTGCCACTGCTTGGAGATTTTTTCTTTTTTTTAGTCTCAAAAATCACTGCATCATAAAATTGTTGACATGCAAAGTCCTTAGAGATCGCCAAAACCTGACTTTGGGGTATACTATAAAACTAGAAGCCCCAATCAAATGCCCTTCTCATTGAGCTACAGGTAATAATCCTAGACAGATGTCAGACTGGAAACTTGACCTTTACAAATAAAGAAGAGAGATGAATTAGCAAAGTCCGGTGTCATAACTGCTTTTCTTCTTAAGAAGCTAATGGCAGCAGTGTCAAGCTGAGCTAACATCAAAGAAAACTGATTTGAAAGGCTCATCTAATTTGTAAAGGGAAGGACATGCTGAAGGTGCTGTGGAGAAGCCATCTGCCTCCAGTCACAATTCCGCAGGAACTAAAGGAGCAGAGGGCCTCAATTATTAGACAGAGTCCTAACCCTTTTTCTGTCTTCCACATCTTGGAAAAATCCATGGGTGAATTCCACAAACTTCTGGTCCTGCAGAGACACGTCAGAGGTGTTTTGGGAAGACACCATGGTAGCATTCTACCTGATGTTCCTTGCGCATAAATAAAAATTGCTTCCTTCACAGCCCTCACTTCCTACCAGCAAGTAAAATAATGAGTTACCTGGAGAGGAATGATGCCTCTAATATAACTTGTCCTTCTAATAAGGGCCTTGTCTTCTGTTCACATGTAATTGTACTCAAATTCAAGAAGCGAAGAGAAATTTGCAATGTGCATTTGTATGATCTTAGTTGGAGTCTGCGTTTAGTAAGTGAGAGTTCTACCAAGGGGTGAGCACAAATTAACTGTTTGTTCCCTTTTGCCTTTAGTAAAAACTTGTAGAGAAGCCACAGTGTGAAAGGCCTTAGTGACTAGGAAATGGTCTCTCCCGAAGAAGTCTGAGGTCTGGGGTAAGAGACACAAAGTGCCAGAGGAAGGTGGCTGCAGGCAGCCCTTCCTTAGGGCCTTCAAACAGGTTCCTTTCAGAGAAGTTTTAAAATCTTATCTGTGGTCTCTACGTTCAATTTGATAACAAGAATTAAAAAAAAAAAAAGGTCACGCAAATCTCTTGTCAAAGAATACAGAAAAAGGAAATATTTCAAATATAGAATTATTTCACCATACAGTATATTTGGGAAGAGGTGAAAGAAAATAAATTGTTACAATAAAACCAGACACAAGCTAAAACACTATTACTAATGTATCTTCATCACCTATAAGTAAATAGTACACATTTTTATACTTATTCATTCATTCACTTGGGGGTACTGGGGACAGAACCCAGGGCCTTCACACTGAGGTACACCCCCAGACATCTTTTGTTATTCTCAAGTCTTGAAACAGGGTCTCACTAAGTCCCTAAATTGCCTACTGCAATTATTTGCAATCCTCCTACCTCAGCCTCCCACAATGCTGGGATTACAGGCAAACACCACCATTCCAGTTCTGTATGTTTTCTGATGGCTCTTACTGGCATTTAATGTGCTTTGAATTACATAACGATCAAGGATGGCAGTGCTGCTGATTAGCAAGTTTGTTAAAAACACATTCCATTGCACTGTTTAACTTAGTATTTCTATTTGTGTTTCCTCTCCCAGGGTTTCAATCAATTCATGACTCTCTCAACTCCCTCCAACAAATACAGAAAACAAAGATGGATCTAGAGAAATATAAAGTACAGAAAGACATAAAGAAATTACAACGTAAGATAGTGGAACTCCGGGAAATTTAAAAACTTCTAGTTATCCTCTTTTTTCCCCCCTACCAGCTAATGGAATGGCTTGTTGGGAAAAGTGGTGAAGAAGAACGTTAATCTCTCTAGGATGTTTCTACTTCCAATGTGTCTGTTTCTCTCACCACCATTTAAGGAGATGAATGTACCTGGTAAAACAATAAAGCAAGAACCTTTACGTTAGCTTCAAATTAGTGAACACGTTAAAGTATTCATACACATGCCTTTTGATATTCTTTCGCCTACAGATTAAAAGAAGAGCCATTCATATAATGTACCCTGATAAATAA